TATATTTATAATTGTTCATAATTTTTAAATTTTTTATAATGTTAGAAAAATTAAATTCCAGTTTTTTCTCCCTGCCTGTCTGTGATAAGATTAATACTTAGTAGACTTATTTTACGTTTAAAATTTTATTCAGTCGAGACTAGACAGCTATTCAGAACAATGAAAATAAAAATAAAAATTTTATACTATCCATTAAGTTTTAAGATGTAACTCTGTCAACTGAAGTAAGTACCCATTTTATGTAATTATTTCATTATATTAATGTTTTGTTGTACATTTTAGCCAGTAACCTTGAAAAAGATAATAAATAATTATCGAAAGCTTGGTTTAAGTTAAATAAGAGTTTTCTTTCAACCACCAATTGACGACATCCCCAATATATAATTTTTTTTTGGTCTATATATATATATATATAGGGTGTTCGGATAACATCGGAGTAAAAGGAAATGTACAAGCAGATACTGCAGCACGTTTTGCTGCAAACTGAAAATATTCCAATATGTTACCAAGACATAAAATTAGTAATAAAATTGAAAACATTTGCAGCTTGGCAATATGAATGGGAAAATAGCACCGCCAAATTAAAATCAATCAAAGCGTCAAGTGGCAAAATAACCAGAAGAGAACAAGTCGTGCAAGATTAGGGCATACAAATTTAACATCAATACATTTACTTCGAGGAGATATCCCTATTTGTGAAACTTGTGGAGTTGAATGAAACATATCTTAGAGACTGTATAGAATTTTCCAACATGAAAATTCAGGCCAACTTAACAACCAACAGATTAAGCGAAATTTTTAAGAATGACAACATCAATTATTATATTTCTAACATTTCTCAAAATAGCAAATATATTCAAGAAAATATAACTTGCTAAAGCGACTAATGATCATAGTTATCGATGTCGCTACAAAAAAATAATAATCATAATAATAAGAATAATAATAACAATAATAACAATAACAATAACAATAATAATAATATAATCACGTAAAGATATCTTTTAACAAGATTTTAATATCTAAATTTCAGTTATTTAAATATACTTACCCATTTTCTTGGGTAACAAATAAACATCTGATTTGTACCGACCAACAGGTGCATTAAACAGTTCTATTAATGCTAATGCCTGAGTTGCAGAAGTAATCGAGACCACAAATGATGGCAGACTCGAGCAACTTAGATTAACCAAACGACCTTCTGCTAACAAAATAATTCGTTTCCCGTCAGGCCAAATTACGTGATCCACTTGAGATCGAACTTTTTCCCAGGTTAGGTCAGGTGTCCTTAAACCATTCTAAAAGTAATAAATGAAAAAATAAATATAATTCTGAGAGTATTCTGACTCACTATGTCAATCTCTGTATTTGAATGTCCCATATTACAAACAATACAACCATTTTTCATTTTATCCATGTGTTCTCTTGTAACTACATTTTTATTTCCAGTGGCAGTAATTACTATATCAACATTACGGATCACTTCATTCAGTTTTACAACACGATAGCCATCCATACTGAAAATAATAAACAACTTACGAATTAAAATGAATCAAAAAGGATTTGTGAAAACAGAGTATCGAACGAATAAAAAATCGAAGAGAAATGTGATCTATCTTTTTTTATTTTGAAGTTATTTACTTAAAAGTGAACATTATGGTTTACATTTTTATTGTTTTAATAAGTGGTGGACTTTTTAAACTCGAATATTTTTGTAGAGAATTCGAATATGTAGTCATATTAACCGTGACTATCAGGAAAAAATGCAACATTCAACTTTTGTTTTCTTATGGATGCACTATTAATCTTTTTGAGGTTCATTTTTCTGACTACGCAGATTATTTTTTTATTTTTGCCAAAAAATTTAATTATTGTCTTTATAAAGAATGGCTACAAAACACAATAATTACTCAAATTAAATTTTGAGTTATTTTAAAGTCACCACAATCTTATTATGTCACTGCAGATGAAATACCAAACATTAAAAAAAAAATAGTGTTATAAAAAATTTACACTTTTTGCGTGATTTACAAAATATTAACTAATATTTAGTATGTGGACATGTATATGCTACTAATTGTAAGTAAAACTAATTTATGTTATAATAAAAAATAAATTAATAAATCTGATAGATTTGAAATATTTTAAAAATCATTTAAATAAAAATGTCGCATTCCAGCTTTCGAGCGCCCTCCAGGATTTTTCAACGCTCTGTATAATCCCAGACGATGTCCAGTACCAGCCGACACGCCTGCTAACCTAGATTTTGAAGGAAGGCAAGGAATAGACAAATTCGCCTACCTTTCGAATCAAATCAGTCAATACACTACGGTCAGGAATCCAGTCGCCGTCTTCATGCCAAGCAACTGGAAATTCCACCACGGCATAAATTCAGTCATCGAACCCGATGTCGACAAAACAAGCCAACACCGACTCCGCATCACGGCGCGGACGTCGGCCTCCAAAATTAGCCCGATCGCTCTAGAGACAGCATCGGATTTTGTCCACCTTTCCAATTTTCCGACGACGCGGCCTATCTCGCCCGGATCTGCCACTAATGCGCTCAGTAGCCACTGCAGCGCAACCTGCCGACGAACCCTGGCGCGCTCCAAGACAATGATTGGAAAAAGCTATCAAGGAATTTACCGATGTTTCCATTGGGTCCAAAGGCGCTATCGCTAATAACATCCAAACCACTTGAGCGATCTGGGCCAAAATTTAATGCAGCATACAACGCATTGCTGGCATTGCCATATCCAAGTTTGGTTCGAATCGTATGAGGCACAATGCCGTTATACGGGGAAACGTGGATTTTACGATTTTCGCGTTTTCAGCCATTCCGCTTATACGATCTCGGCTGAACCCCAAAACCACAATAGAGCTTCTGTGGACATCATATCCAAATTCGAACCGAATCGTGAGACGACTAACGGTCAGCTAATCCAAAACAGGATTCTAAGTTTTTCTAGTTTCCGCCGGAAGTGTCCGCATGATCTCGGCCGAACATCAAAATTGCGGTACCACTTCATATCGTCCATCATCCCAGAGAATATTGCGACGATCCATCCAGGCGTAACCTCTCCGTAGGCCTTTTTACGAAGACGGAAAAGTTTTCACCTCAGTTTCCAATTTTTCCGTCTTGGGGCTAAAAAAAACATCTTCCGAGGATCTTTCCACTACGGCGATGCGATTCCCGTCCTCGACCACCCAAGGACTACCCGGGAGCCGAATTTCCGGCAATCGGGAAAGTTTCGAATGTTGCGACGATAAGGATATTCTGACTCCTGGGTAAGACGCTGATGCTGATGCCGAAAATCGATCTCCGAACTTTCGGAAAAAATCCAGAGGCCTGAGGGGGAAGACGTCCAACAGCGAGGGCGTTTTCGTAACTTTATTTTGGCGGACAGGACGAGAGTGCTCCGACTGCTCCGTCAAAAGTATGGATATTCGACAACATTTCCAAAATCACCCGAACGTCTACCCGAGCCATCCGCAGTATATTATCGGGAGTTACTAGTATGAAACTGCTAGTTATCAATCCCGACAAGATGCTGACTTTGCAACCCTTGCAGTTTCATTGTTCTGCTAAACTTATAAATATGGGTCAAGTTGATGTTTAACCAGTTATCGTCTAGAGGTAATACAGAGCTCATACTTTTGAGATTATTGTATTCATTTTGACTTTAATTCATCATTTTTAAAATAAAAAGAAATTTTGTTTTTAAAAACTAAAACCGCTCGGCACAAAAGTTATCGGGCGCAGTCAGTAGGAACCTTTTTTGGAGTTTCCCAAGGGCATATTGGAATTCTCGTCGTACCGTCGACTAACCAGGGAATATCCACTGAAGATTGTACCGCTGTAATATCCTTGGCAGAACCCCTAAGTTAAGAAATCCAGGAGAATCAAGAATCAAGCAAAGAAAAATCAAACAAACAAATTCTCGAAAATAGCAAGTAAGAAGACATCAGCGATTAGGCTGTGGAGAAATTAGTTCAGTAGGAATTTCTCTCGAGAAATTGCTGGCTATAATCGCTGTATCCACCCTATCCGAAGCAAACAAGACATCGTGAGGCTTTGCACTTGTATTTTTAGGTGTCGAAGTGCCTAATTATACATTAGCCCTAGAAGCAACCTAGATCGTGCACTTTCTTTCCAAAGACTGCATGTGATCTAAATCGTGCATAGGAAAGATTGGCCCAAGCAAGAAAACATCTTTACAAGAAGCCATCTCTAAAAGTACGTAGCCTCGAGCTACTTAGAACCCGTACTTAAAAAATTAGGGATATACCGATATATCGATTATATATACCAGAGCCTTTCTGTCATCAAAATTTTTCTTTTGTAAGTATTTTAATGACTGACAATTATTCTGACGACGACACATTAGCTAACCTTTTTTCGCGAGTTTTTACACCTAACCAATTTCTATTAGAACCCGTAGAAAACGAACAGATAAATATGGCTCAAGCAAATATTAGTATTCGTGATTACTTAGATTTGATCCCATTTTTCGACGGCGATGTTTCAAAATTGCCAAATTTTATAGATTCGTGCGAAAAAGTTTACAGTATGCTTATTACGGATAATAACGCAGCCCGAATTCAATTTTTAATGCTACACTTTCGAAATAAAATAATAGGGAAAGCCGCAGAAGTATTAGCTGCCCGCGAAATTACTACTTTTGTTGAATTAAAAACGTTACTATTGAACACTTTCGAGACCAAAGAAATGAAGAGTGTCTTTTAAACGATTTGATGATGTTAGCACAAAATCCTAATGAATCAGCCACACAGAGTAATCTCACTAAGAAGCTTATTATTGTCCAAAATTCAAATGTCTACGTTATCACCGGCTCTACGTCAAGAAAAGATCGCTCTGTATAACAAAATGGCTTCACGGACTTATTTATCAGGACTAAATTCCCATTTAAGTAATTTATTACGTTGCAAACAACCCCAATCACTTGAGGACGCCATCAACAAAGTGATTGAAGAAGAAAATATGGTTTATAATAGACAACAGAAGTTGGGACAGAAAAATAATTTTCAAAAGAATAATACATTGCAATTACGCACTGTACAAGGAAACTTTAGACCTACCCAAACATTTCCCCAAAGAATAGTATCACAACAGTTCGGTAGACCAATCCCTAACGTAAAAACAAATTTTCCACATAGAATTCCAAATTTCTCTAATCCGAGATTTTTTCAACAAAGACAATTTCCAAATCCATGAAGTTTTCAACGCCCAAATTTTTCAAATTTCCCTCAAAGACTAAATTTTCCGCAACGATCACCTTTTCTAAACCAACAATTTTCCTCAAACAATCAAAATTCTCAGCGTACTAATATTCAAAATGCCCAACGTCCTAGACAAACATATCCTCTACCAGTGGATACCTCATCCGGAAATACCAGGCGTACCAGAACTACTCGACCTCTACCAAGATTTACATTCCAAGAGCTACATTTCCAAGATAACACCCCATATTCAGACATTGAACAGGAATCCTACGAAGAAGAGCCTTACTACGGAGAAGAATATTACCCCGAAGAATATTCTGAATTCCAAGAACAGTACATAGAAGACGAAAATGTTCCTATACCAGCCTCGGAGAACACTATGAAGAATACGAATTCGCCGAATATGACGAACCCTACCAGTACCAAGAACCAACAGTAAATCTAGAAGCTGACGAACCCTACCAAGACGACGAAACCATAACAAATTTAGAAATTAACATCGCATCAAATAGTAAACTTCCATACATTATAATTCCCAAACTTCAGGCCAGATTCATGATAGACATCGGATCAACAAAAAAAAACATTAATAACATAATCCATAGCACATGCATATTTCAAACACAAAATGTATCTCAACCCCTTCAAAATTAAAACACCGCATACTACAACTACACATGATTGGTCTGCAAATATTCCAATTTCGAAAATATTTAAAAAACCTGGACTGATACATACTCACTATGTATTCAATTTTAGTGATGTCTATGATGGGCTAATAGGCCTAGACTTTCTTCAAAAAGTCAGAGCTATCCTCGATTTTAGAAACGGATATCTAATTACAGACAATATAAAAATTCCATTATTCATTGAAGAAAAAAGACTAATCCACCCTGACGCCGACAATTAATTATAAGAAAAGAATATATATATATCTGTTTTGTATTTTTGTCATCAGATGATGACAAAAATACAATCAGAGCTTGTGTTGTTAATGCAATCACTAACTATAAAAATCATATTAAACAGAATAAAACAAAATTAAATAGCACACAAAAAGAAATCCTAAAAATCATAAATAAAACTCGCCATTTTATTAAAGAAAATCCACAAATCACTATCCTTAAACCTGACAAAAGCAATAAAACTGTTATAATTAACAATTCTGATTACAATTCAAAAATGTTAAATTTACTGAATGATACAAACACATATAAAAAAATTAATTCAAATCCTACAAATAACTATCAAAATAAAAATAATAATTTAATC